GGAGGTGATGCTACACTCCTCGTCTCCAATAAAATATACGTAAATATTATAAAATCACGGTTATCTTACCATGTAGATGAGACTGATGAGAGTATTTTAGTATCTCCTTAAAATATTTCTGTATAATTTATATATTTTATGTATATATTTGAATATTTATACATAATATTAACATATATTTATAGAAGTCTATGACTGATTCAAATTCCCGCGTTTTAAAATATTGTAGAGCATGGTACAGCTTATTGTATCATTTATTGGGCATGCGTCGTTTAATTCGATAACATGTCCTGTGCTGCTGTTTTATCCTTCGACCATATAAGCTAATATATAGCTTATATGGTCGAAGATTTTATCTATTTCATAYCTACGCAATAAGTATATCGATTACTGCCTTACTGGTTAGGTCGGCTTCAGACACGAACTACACGTGATATACGCTTATWGCTCAGCATTGCTGCAGCTGCTCTATCCAGTGAAAATTATCTAAAAAAAAATTCATGATAAGCCAAATCAATTGTTTTATCATACCGCCATATCTCGTATTACAATTTAATATAATAATATATATTATTCATTATCATTATTGAAAATTGAAATAATAATATTATAGTAAATAATAAATATTTAATATTTATAATATACTGAAACTTGAAACATTAAATTTAATAATATTATAATAAAAAATTATTATAATATATTGTAATAAACTATTATAGTGATTAATGCTATTATCATTTACAATTACATTATAGCTATTGTTTTGTGTTTACTTTCGTGTTTTTTATTTGGTAAATACTTGTTCTCAAGTCTCAATTGAACACGTAATTTTTGTTTAAAATTAGCTAGCTGAGGAAAATTAAATAATGTCTTTATACGACGATTTCGATGTTGTTAAACAAAAATCTGATGGCTGGTCTTCAGGCATGAAGCTCTTTCAGACGCAAATGCAGTTGAAAAAAGCAGCTCAAACTCAGGTTTGTAATTTATCCAATTTGAATTTTACTTAAGGAGGCGTCATACGGTTTACAGCTTATCAGCTTAAAATGAAACAAGTTTGTGGTATTTAKTTCTTAGTTCGAAATTTTTTTTTAAATCTTGATGTAATAGTAAATTAGTAAGTTCTACTAATTTTATTTTTTGACTATAAAATTATTATATTTTGCTTTTAGCCAAGAAGAGAAGCAACCCGTAAATCCACATCAGTTTTAGCACCAGTAATTGATTTAAAGAAAAAAGATGATGATGAATCCATGTTTGATCCAGGACTTGGCTTTACAATTTTTCCCATGGCCCGAGTAATATATAAAATAAACATTGTTATTATTATATGTTACAAATATACTATTTATCATCAAATCCATGTCATAATGTATATATTGATGCATAAATTACCAATAGGAAGGAAAAAAACCACAACGTCCATCATTTCCACCCATGGACTGGAGTTTTGATGGCAATGAATATGACCCCATGATCCCTAATGATTACGAAAGAGTAGTTAGAGGTAATTGTAATTCATAGAACCATTCTAAGGTTTTAATGACTGAATTACATTTTTAATGTATTAATATTTAGATTTAAGAGACATGCGAGATAAAGAAAAAGAAAAAGAAGATGACGAAAGACGAAAACGAAGAGAAGATCGAAATAAAAATAGAGACCCGTAAATTATATAACTATTTATAAAATAGAATAAGTTTTAATTCTAATGATCTTTGCTTTAGTGGTTACAATAATATGATGGATTTACCAACTGGCTTTACACCCAATACCGATGAAAGACGCAAAACTGGATTTACCGGATTTGGTGGACGTAAAGATAGCGATAGCGAAGAAGATGAACCAAAACCCATGAGTAGAATCCCTGGTGCTGCAATTGCTCCACCSCCATCATTGCAGGAATCATTTGTAACATCACCTGGACCTCAACAGTCTTCTGGGATTGGCATGGGCATGGGTGTTGCTGCTAAAATAATGGCCAAATATGGTTTTAAGGTAATAAAATGTCAGAACTCAATACCTACAACTACATTTAAATCATTATTTTTTTATCATTCTCCTTACGAGTTAAAAATTATATTTTTACTATTGATAAAATAATTGAATTGAATTTAAGTTCCATTCATAGATAAAATAGTATAAATAGTATAAATATGTAATTCAAAGTAGATTTTTCAATTTATTAAATKAGTATTAAGTGGAGTGACTTCTGGGGTTATTGTAAGGTGGTATACAAAAATTTTTTTGTGATTTATAGGATGTCAATAAGAACAATTTTTGTATTCACATACCTAATGTAATATACTTTTACCTTTAGAATGGAAAAATGAATGCTATAGTTGCCAATCATATGCCAATCGCTATTTTTGACTTGACATAAAAAAAATCTGTGTAATACACAGTTTGATTGTGTTATTGGCTAATATGTGACTTTTTTTTTTTCGTGGTTCACGTATTCCTATGTACCATAGCACTAGCTGTCATCAGTATATTTATTGATAAAATATTTTATAAAGTATATTACCTATAAATGATTGAAATGTTTTTTGCTTATTGTCCAGGAGGGGCAAGGATTGGGAAAGAAAGAACAAGGTATTTCAGTGGCTTTACAAGTAGAAAAAACCAGTAAAAGAGGTGGTAGGATTATTCATGAGAAACCCGGTGGTAATGTTTCACCACCACCTATGACTTCTATGGCTGCTATGATACAAGACGATTTTGTAGCACCTGCTCCGCCACCTCCTAAACCTCTACAAAGTATCACAGAAATAATGAAAGAACAATCAAAGGTAGTACTATATGATAGTTTTTTATATTGTTATTTTTTTTTTWAAACGAGACTATTAAATCTGATACTAATTAAATAAAAATAAAAAAAAGGTTGTACTTTTACGAAATATGGTTGGGCCTGGTGAGGTTGATCAAGATCTTGAACCAGAAGTAAAGGATGAATGCAACACCAAATATGGGGATGTAAATAAAGTAGTTATATATGAAGTTCCAAATGTTGATCATGAAGAAGCTGTACGGATATTTGTGGAATTTAAACGTATAGAATCGGCAATCAAAGGTAATATCATAAATATTATATGTATATTAAATAATTTAATTTAATTTTTTTTTTATTACAGCTGTTGTAGACCTAAACGGTAGATTTTTTGGCGGTAGACAAGTAAAAGCTGGATTTTATAGTGCAGAAAAATTAAATAGCTATCAGCTACTTGATTAAAACAAACTATTTAATAATATAAAAATAATTGTATTATATAATTTTAATATATTTGGACAAATTTTTAACCATAATTTTCTGTATAAAATAGCTTATGTTTTTTACATTAATATACCTAATGCTTATGACTGAGATCAACCTGTATTGCCAATTATGCTGATGAAAGCCATAATCTCAATTATAATAGTCTTTTTATAGCTACTACCTACAGCTAACTTACAAATTCATCTCAATCTTATTTCTGTATGGTCAGTGACGTATTTAAGCGGGACTCTGAGGTATTAACTTTTTTAGGAGCTCTAAATTTTKGAGAGCATTTTGATATAATACAGTACCTAGGTCACTTGAGTAATAAAAAAAAAGTAATGACACTTAGATACTAATAAACTATCATGTTTTTTTTTTTTTAAATACACCTATTGCTAAAGAAATTTAAGTTGAAAGGGGGCATCCTTTTTTTTACCCGGGGTGCAAAATTCCTGAATAAGTCTACGTGTACGGTACTCTAAATGGAGAATAAAATCAAGCCAMATCAAATTTATACACGTGGCTTTCACTTTTATTCAAGGATTTTTGCCGGCTTCATATTTTAATATTTTATACCTTCATCTGATACTGTTAAATATTTAGGTTTTACACTAAATAAGAGATTAACATGGAACCAACACAAGGGCATAAAGATACACTTTAAATTCACATTCTCATATGCTTAAAACTATATTTTAATAAACAATTTTCCAAGTTTAAGAATCAACATTTTTATATGTCTACTAAAATTTTTATCTTATGTTCTACAACTTATCAAGATAACACACTCCATGAAACCATAAATGCTCCATCTTACATTAAAAAATTTAACTTCCCAAYAATTTACATTACAACACTATTGAAGAGGAAATCTGCTGTATATTACGAGCGATTCTTCTCACATCTAGCAAACCTTAATAACCTACTCATCGGAGACATAAATACCCTAACACATCCTGAAAATCCCCACCGCCAGTTTAAAAGAAGATGGTGCAGAGCCATTTGACCTACTTCTAAATATAAAATATTAGGTAATAGTATAAATATTGGGTGACTTCTTAACAAAGTGATTTGTATAGAAAAAAAACTGCTCTCATTGCATATGCATATAATGCCATTTTATTCAGTTTGTATATTTATTTAATTATTTTAACAAAATATATTATGCATATAATGTGTATCCCAAAAAACAGGGTTCACATTATCATTCATTATCCTGTAAATATCCTTCGATTCTGTTTGCAAGACATTAAACTAGACTAATCGATCATAAATTTCTATGGCTTAAATTTTTTTTAACCAAAGAATTTTGTGCATGCGCAGCAAACCTTGATGTTTTTTAAATGGCAATCCCTATTTTAAATACCATTTTCTGATTGATTGATTTTTTTCAAAAAATTTTGATAAATCAACTTGTGTTGTAAATTCAAAATTGGCTAAATTACAGCTATAGGTATAATTTGAAAATCTTATTAAATTTGAATATTCATTATTTTATTTTTAATAATTGTTTGTATTATTTTCTTCTAAACACCATGATGTTATCAAAATTATTATTATTATTATTAAGTAATAAATTATTATTCCATTTTATTGTTATACATTATGAGATAACATAATTTAAACAAGTATTTTCAGGAAACAAAATTCTAAATTTCTATAMTCTTTTTTTAATACTATAGAAATAAAAATAAATATTCAAATTTATTAAGATTTTTAAATTACACCTATATACCTCCAATTTATACAATTTTCAGTTTAAAACAAGTTGATTCATCAAAAATGTCTTGAGTAAAATCGATCAATACGAAAAATATATTTAAAATAATGAATGTCATTTAAAAAAAAATGAAGTTTAAGTCATAAGAATTTATGATCGATAAGTCTAGTTTAATGTAAAAAAGTGTAACCTGTTTTTGGGGATACATGGTATATACCTAATAATTTTATACTAAAATCCAGACAGATGCAGTGGAAAATCCTCGATTTTCTAAACAACAATTTTCTGTTAATTTGTATTCTTCAAGTTTTTTTAAACGCTCCTGTAAATGACGTTCAGGCTTGAAACAATGTCTACCCGGATCTCCTATCAATATAGTCTTCCCACTGTTACTCAGTGCATCCAGCCATTTCCACAGTTCATCAGCAATATCTTTTGAATAAAACATATCTCCAACAATGATGACTTCCCATTGCGAACAATCATTGAACAAAATGTTCTTAGGCAATACATCAATTTTGATGTTGTTTAATTGAGCATTTAGTTTAGCTGCTACACAGGCAACTGTCAAAACCAAAAAATACATTTTATGAAATGAAGTGAAATAAATATAATGACTGTACCAGGATCTATGTCATTGGCTGTAACTTGACTGGCACCCGCTAAAGCTGATGCAAGACTGCATGCGGCACTACCACTACCAATATCCAAAATTGTTTTGTTGTTCACATACTTGCTGTTATCTAGTATAAACCTAAAACCAAACAAACAAATATTAGGGAAAGCATGTTGTACAGGTATGAATATAATTTTTCCTAATTTATTTTACCTAGAAATAGCTTGGCCACCTGGCCAATAAAATGCCCAGAATGGATCATTAAACTGACATTCATAGACAGGTGAATGCCACAGTTTACACTGTTCAGTAATTAAATGTAATTTTATTTCTGGAGTTAAGTGGTTTGTACATACAACAGTTGCATTTTTTATTTGTTCGGCATAGTATTGTTCACTATGACTGCAATATCTTTTGGAAATAATTTTAATTGAGTCTACAATAGAATGATACCTCACATTCATTTTTGAAAAGTTGTTGTCAAATTCAAAGGTGACTCAATTGTCATGATCTATCTAAAATTATAAATGTCATTACTATATTAAGTAAGTATATTAACCATGGGGCCTAGACCTATAGGTCTATGATATCAATATAATATTGTTGATTCACAAACTGTAATCAGAATTTTTTCAACTTTACTGGCATGTCACAATTTAAAATTTAAGGCGCCACTAAGGATAATTAATACCATGCCACCATGGCTAAATAAATATCACCTAAATAATTTAGCCATGACTATCACTGCGACAAATCTCTATAGGTAGAATTGTTAATTTTCGGACCTTGGTGAAAATTTGAAACAAAAAATACAACTTAAAATAATTTATTGGTATTTGATACAGGTTCACAATAAAAGGAAATATAGAGAGGCCGTTAGATATATTATTATCACTGATGTTAACTAATTGATGTACAAAGTGCGGACATTTAACAGGGCCTTCGTTATTGATAAAAAAAAATATTGTTTCGAGATATTCACTTTTTATCGACTCTTTTATGGCTTACGATTACGAATTACAATTTATGACAACGTTTTATATTACGGTTTACGTTTTATGATTATATTATTTTATATGTTTGCCTAGACGTGTTTGATACTTTTATAGTAATTTTAAATTTTGACTGTAACTTCATATGCGTTTAGTGTTAACTAATTATTATTTAAATTAATAATTATTCACACAATGCCTATTTTTTTGTTAATATACCTAGTTGTCTTGTGTGTGGAAGAACAAAGGATCAAAATGRTAAATCTGCTAATACATATTTTCACAGGTATAATTAAGATTTTAAAAGTAGGGAATGGAAAAAAAATCTTGAGAACATTTTTTTTATGAAACTTGGAACATTTTAAATTAAACTTTGTTTCCAAGATTTTTTAAAGCTATAGCCCAAAATATTAAGTTTTTTTTTTTATTAGCTTTTAGTTTAACTATTACAACAAATATTAAGTTATAGAGA